AATATAGTCATGAATATTGCTTCCGTGGTTCTTAGTTTCGCAGTTCGCTCTCTTACCACCTCCCCACAACACCTTCCCACACCCCCTCCCCACCTCCCCACAACACCTTCCCACCTCCCCACAACACCACCCCTTTCCCACCACCTCACAACACATATTCCGACAACACCTCCCCACACCCCTTCCCCACACCCCCTCCCCACACCACCTCCCCACAACACCACCCAAACCAGCATCTCCCCACAACACCACCCCTCAGCACCACCCCTCAGCACCTCCCCTCAGCACCTCCCCTCACGGCGATCGCTGGCTTCTATCGGCAGTTCAATACAGTTTAAAACTTTCGTCATGTTTTACTTGTGAAGAAAATCCCGGATGGGTATCAAAGGTGCAGTTTGGTCGAGTTTTGTGTGTCTTGTGTGTTTTGGTGTTTATTTCCTTCTTGCATTTATGGCTCAATGTCTGGCTGTTTGAAATGCATAAAGTCGGGGTTTTATTCTAGAAAGGTCGGGTATTTTGGAAAGGTCAGGTGGTTTAGAAAGGTCGGGTATTTTAGAAAGGTCGGGTATTTTAGAAAGGTCGGGTGTTTGTTCTAGAAAGTTCGGGTGTTTTAGAAAGGTCGGGTATTTTAGAAAGGTCGGGTATTTGTTCTAGAAAGGTCGGGTATTTTAGAAAGGTCGGGTATTCGTGAAAGGTCGGGTATTTGTGAAAGGTCGGGTATTCGTGAAAGGTCGGGTATTTTGAATATTTGTTGCTTTATAATAATCCCCAAAATATTAGAGTCCGTAGTCCATCTATTTCGTCCTTATTCTCCTGCCTAGTGTCCGTAGCATGAGTGTCCGTAGTCCATCTATTTCGTCCTTATTCTCCTGCCTAGTGTCCGTAACATGAGTGTCCGTAGTCCATCTATTTCGTCCGTACTCACCTACCTAAACACTGGGTCTATTTCACGGACGCTTGTACAGTTTATTACCTTATAATTTACACCCCAATGGCCTTGTTTCGTTTATCTAGACGTGAAAGGAAATTATTTTGGGTTTTGCGTTACGTCTCTGTTTATCACTGTCTGTTCTGTCTCCTGTTTATCACTGTCTGTTCTGTCTCCTATTTATCACTGTCTGTTTGTTTGTTTATCACCTTCTGTTTATGTCGGGTATTACTGTCTGTTCTGCCTCCTGTTTATCACCGTTTGTTCTGCCTCCTGTTTATCACCCTCTACTCTGTCTCTATTAGCAGTGTCTCCTCTTCCTAGTTTTATTTATTTATTGATTTATTTTTATTCCTCTTCTCTTCTTGCTAATTATCACCGCCTTCTCCTCTTCCCAATTATCATCATTTTCTCTTCTTTCTCTACTGTCACTGTGTTCTGGGGTGATTTCTCTCAAACGGTCAGAACTATCATCTTCAAACGTTAAGTACGTGTGTGTGTGTGTGTGTGTGTGTGTGTGTGTGTGTGTGTGTGTGTGTGTGTGTGTGTGTGTGTGTGTCTCTCTCTCTCTCTCTCTCTCTCTCTCTCTCTCTCTCTCTCTCTCTCTCTCTCTCTCTCTCTGTTGTTTTATTAAAGGCTTCAAGTCCACACTATAATGTATGTTGATTAAATTGCTTATCTGGCTGAGCATAAGTCCGAGGAGGTGGATGAGGTGGTAGTGGATTAGGCGGATGAGGTGGATGAGGAGGTGGTGGATGAGGAGATGGTGGGTGAGGTGGAGGAGTAAGATACAGTGGTGGGAGTGGAGGAGGAGGTGGAGAGGGAGAGAAGAGGTGGACAGGGAGGGAGGAGGAGAGGGAGGGAGGAGGAGAGGGAAGGAGGGGAGGAGGAGAGGAGGAGAGGAGGGAAGAAGGAAGAGTGAGAATAATGTGAAGATGCTCGTTATTGCTGCCTCAAGCTGATGGGAGGGTAGGAAGGGGGAGGAGGGGTGAGTGGGTGGGGAGAGAGAGGGAAGGATGGGGGGGAGGTGGGTAAGAGGGAGGGATGGTGGAGTGGATGGATGGATGTAGGTGGAGAGGATCCTTTGTTCTCCTGTATGGGTGGAAATGGATGGAAGAATAGGAGTAGATATGCGCTTGAGAAATAGGATAGTCAGGGATAGTGGAGTGGTTCGCCCCCTAAGATGGATAGTTCAGGATAGACAGGTAACTCTCCTCCACTACCTGAAGAAGAGGTGTATTCTAGCGTGACAGACAGACAGACAGACAGATGGACAGACACTAAATGGGTATCAATAGTCTTTAAAATTCCCCGACACACACACACACACACACACACACACACACACACAAACACACACATTTCAACCTTCTGGCTGCAGCTCTTTCGTAAACCGTTAATTGTGTGTGTATTATTGTACACACACAGCGTCCAACCTACTCGACGCTTGCGTAACTCTCTCTCTCTCTCTCTCTCTCTCTCTCTCTCTCTCTCTCTCTCTCTCTCTCTCTCTCTCTCTCTCTCTCTCTCTCTCTCACACTAGTCACCAGGTGGGCCTCAGGTACACAGCAGTTTGTATATTAATCAGTGTGAGTGGCGTCGTCTCATTCCTCCTTGTCCTCTTAGTGTGTGTGTAAATTGTTTCTCAAACCGTAAATTACTTCACTCGCTAAAAATTGCTATTCTTTGACTGTAAATTACTCTTCCTTAACTGTAAATTGGTCTCTAACTGTAAATTGTTTCTGTAAATCAGTGTGTTTGGTGGTGTTTGTTACTGTAAATCAGGTGATGATGTACTCTATGTAAGTGTAAATTAGTTGATTTTCTTTTCTTAATTAACTGTAAATTTACCTCCTATAAGTTAGCTTGCGGTCTTTGTAAATAACTTCGTATGATAAGCTGGATGTTGTAAATAACTGTAAATTACCTTCTACACTCAGCTGGCGTTTGTAAATAGCTGTAAATCGCTTCTGATGGTCAGTTGGTCTTTGTAAATTACTGTAAATTCCGTTCTATAATCAGTGTTTCGTAAATGTTTGTAAATGAACTATTGTAAATCATTTGGCCTTTGTAAGTAAATCTGAACTACTGAAATGGCCTTCATAATATACTGTAAATTGAAATCGTTTCCTTTAGTCATCTGTAGTTCGTAAATTACTGTAAATGACTTCCTAAATTCAGCTGGTCTTTGTAAATAACTAAGCTTTTTTCAATCAGTTGGTGTATGTAAATATATATATAATTCTGTGTAAATCAACTGTAAATTGTTTCGTATAACCTGCGCGACTTTGTAAATATCTGTAAATCACTTCATAAAATCAGCTTGACATCGTAATTACCTGTAAATTATCACCCATAATCATTAAGTCGTCGACATTTACTGTAAATTAGCTTGTATAATTATCTGGACCTCGTAATCAGTTGTAAATTGCATATAATAATTCAAATCTTGTAAATTACTGTAAATACTCTCCTATATTCATCCAATCTTGGTGATTTTCTGTAATCACCTCCCATAATCAATAGGTCTCTGTAAATAACTGTAAATCTATATTAATCGAATCTTCGTAAATAACTTTAAATCACCTTGTCTAATCACCTGGACTTTCTAAACAACTTCAAATTGTCTTTTATAATTATCTCAACTCCATTAATAACGGCAAATCACCTACAATGATCATTAAATTCTCGTCATTAGCTGTAAATCACCTCGTCTGATCAGGTGGACTTGATAATTAGTTGTAAATTACCCATAATGATCTAATCCCTGTAAATCACATCGTATTATCAGCTGGACGTGATAATTAGTTGTAAATGACATCATACAATCAGTTGGACTTGAAAATTAGTTGTAAATGACATCATACAATCAGTTGGACTTGACAATTAGTTGTAAATCAAATCCAAACAAAGTCAGACTAATTATTCGTTGTCACAGAAATGTTTTATGAAACTGTTGATGATAATTAAATATAAACATTGTTAGATAAATTAGATAGAATAGATAATTAATGGGATCTTGGCCATGGCAATTAATTAAGTAATTAGGATGAGTTAAATGACGCCATAATGAGATAGAGGTGTGGGTAATTAAATGTATACGGTTAAATTATTGATAATTAATTGAGGTGAATTAAGTGGTTCAGTGTGGGTGATTAATTAGGTTCTGGAATTAGGTGATTAGTTAGGTTCTTTGTGGTGAGTTATTGATGTAAGTTAGATGCGTGAATATGGATAATTAAAAGAGGTTTTCGACGAGGAGATTAATTAGGTATTTAGGGTTAATTACTTAGATTACTCCAGTAGGGGGCAATTATAGGGGGGGGTGGGGTTTGAAAGATGTGGTGTCTGTGATTAATTATTGGCTAAATTAGGTTCTTCAGTGTGGATAATAGATCTTGGAATTGGAAGATTAATTAGGTACTTCAGGTCAATTAGTTGATTAATTAAATAGTTCTGTTTAGGTTATTAAATTGGAATTAGATGTTTAGTTACGTGTTCGAGGTGAATTATCAAGGTGATTTAGATAGGCCGCTACTGTAGGTGATTAATTAGCCTTTGGAAGAAGACAATTAAGCAGGTATTGAATGTTAATGATGGTGGGAAATTAGTATTTTGTCAAGGTAGTAAATTAGGTTTCGAAAATAGAATATCACCAGGTAAGGTCTCATTACGAGGGATAATTAGATAATTAAGTTAGGCTAATTTCTAAGGTCAAAGGTCAATTAGGTCATTCGAGGGGGGAGTCTAATTTCTAAGGTCAATTAGGTCATTCGAGGAGGGTAATTTAGTCCGAGAATACAAGAGTACATAAGAAAATACTTTGGAGGTAATTAACGACCTTATTGGGTAATAGATCTAATTAGTTCCGTGGGGTTAATTAAGGTGTTTCAGAAGGACAGAAAGAGCAATTAAAAAGTTGTATGAGTTATTTATTAATGATAGGGTAAATCGATTTTAATTAGTGAAGTTAATAAAAACACAATTAGGTGACACAGAAGGCAATTAATGAGTTGTTTAAGGTGATTTAAGTTAATTACCGTGATGATTATAGGTTAAAACGACTACTTACCTTAGCTTGGGGATCGTCAAGGGTCGTGTGGTGGTCTTCAGGGAGTCGTCTTCGAGTAGTTAGGGGGTCGTGTCTCGTGCAGCTTGTTGTTGATATGCAAATTAAATCTGGTCGAGATGTCTTCCAAGATCAGATGATAGTTAGCAGTGCCTGTCTGTCTGTCTGTGTGTGTGTGTGTGTGGGGGGGGATAAACGGAGGCCTACACCCACACCACCTCGCTACACCTACACTCACACCTTATTATGTCTGGGTTTACACTCGAGATGAAAAAAATAAAAAGTCCAGCTGTTTTGTTTTCACACACAACTGCAGTTCGGAAACACCAGGTGAGGATTAATTAGTTTTTTTTTTTACCTGAAGTGATATATATTAAAAAAACTGTTATAAGCTGAAGGTAAAAATCATTCTCAGGTGAAATTTTGTTCTCACTTTAGTTTGGTGTTTGTTAATGAGTACCATCAGTGTTAAAACTGTAGGTCCGTTGATGATACTGATGAGCGCTAGTGAGTGTGGGAGGAGGGGAGGGCGGGCGAGGGAGGTAAGGTAGGCAGGCAGGGAGGGAAGAGAGAGAGAGCGACGCGATGTCCTCTTCTCTCAACCACAGCCAGCGAGCAACTGGATAAAGGAGGCTTCACCCCAACACTTATACAGGCGGCAAACAGCTGCGCATCAGCACGCGCCTACCCTACCTTACCCGAGTTATAGTCGATAAAAGTCTTTTAAAACCCGTTCGGAGGAAACTTCGGGGAAGCTGCCCACAGGTGAAGGGGAGGAGCACTTGTGTTATGGGTGTAGTTGTGTCAGGTAGTGAGGGGAGGGTAGAGGTGAAGGGGAGGTGAGGAGGGAGGGAGGTAAGGGAAGTCGCTGGTTCAGGTAGTAAGGGGAGATGAGGGAGGCAGCTGGGTCAGGTAGTGAGAGGGAGAAATGAAAGGTGAGGGAGGTGGAGGAGCCAGGTAGTGAGAGGGGAGAAGGCAGTCTCAGGTATACTACACAGTAACAGCAGGTGTGGACCCAGGTAAAGTAAGGTGAAATTACGGTATCAAGAAAATGTTAACTTTTTCACATGTGTGTGTGTATGTATGTATGTTGTATTTGTGACATGTCGTGTGTTTGTTTATATATATGACGAGTACACACATAACAAATAAATATCCTAGATAAAGTTATCCAAACAAGATTAATGTATAAGGAAGCCGACCATATATGTTAAACAGGTACACATACAGAGAGACATAATGTTAAGAGGGAACACGGTACAGCTTTTGTTATGAGAGGGGGAAGGACCACGACCATCACCCACCAGTCTGTGTTGGGTAACTCGCCTTAGGATCTGCATTTAAACTATTCAATTCACCTTCACTAACACCCCACCACCCTACCTCTCTCTGCTCGGTGTGTGTGTGTGTGTGTGTGTGTGTGTGTGTGTGTGTGTGGGAAAATAAAAAAGTACAGCAACCTTAATTTGAAAATATACAAATGATAAAGTTGATGCATATATAACACATTATGACACAGGGGAGAGAGTCATTAATTAAGAATAAGAGCACAGTTACAGTACAACAGTGTGATTGGCAGGGAGCGAACACACAAGTTATCTACGAGTTATTAATAAAATTTACATTTGTTCGTGTGGGTCTCCTCATATAGCGATCAGTATGTGGTTGAATGTGGTGGAGGTGAACGCAGGTGGTGGTGGCGAGGTCGGTGCATCAGCTTTGTTCCAGACTGACGGATGAGGCCACGATGATGATCAGAGAGAGGGTGAGAGGTTGAGAGGATGAGAGGGTCAGTATATTGAGCGCCTCTTGATATGTAGTGTAGGAGGGGGAGAGATTAGTCTTGCACTCCCTCTTCGCCACTGTCTCTTAATAGTCCTCTTTGTGTACCAGTTAAGTGAGAAGATCAGGCAGGGGAAGCGTAGGTGAGTTTAGCGAGTATGAATATTGTGTAAACATTCAAGGGCTCAGAAGCAGAAACTCCGAGGGACTTGAGGGGAAGGAAGATGTGGAGACTATAGTTGAAAGATTTAACGGCTGTACTGACGTGTAGTTTCCAGTTGAATTTATTATCTATAGTGACGCCGAGGAGCTTGATGGAGTCTACAACCTGGAGTGTGTTGGGGACCCAGTGTGATGGATGGAGGTGGGACATGGTCAGAGGAGAGGGTTGATGTGCATAAACCATGGTCTTGGTATGGTTGATGGTGACATGGTTGGTGGTGGATCAATCTTGGAGACTGTTCAGTATGTTCTGGGGGGCTCTGTAGTCTATATATTTCCACCCAGCGGGAGTATTTTTCTGACGAGGATGAGGAAGCAGAGGGGTCCTATTCTAGTACCTTGAGGAACGCTGTGAGTGAGTGACTGATAGATGAAGACAGCCCCTCGGAAGTGTACAGTTTGGCATCGGTCAACTAAGGAAGTCTGTAAACCATGGTATTAGACTTCTCCGAACCCCGAGTCTCGATGGCTTTGTTAATATTATGGTCGACTGAATCAAACGTTCTGTTGAAGTCAATGAAGGCGAGAGTCACAGAGCTCTTACGGTGCTCTAGGTTGTGGTAAATGGAACCAAGAAACTTGACGTGACAGAGTGCGTGTTGGGGGAGGTTTGTCATAGTGCCGTATTGTTTAGGGTTTATGGCAATATCTGTATAAGCACAGTCAAATACCAGGTGTGTTCAGACCAGGCATGTGTACATGTGTAGGTGTGTGTTCAGACCAGGTGTGTAGGTGTGTGTTCAGACCAGGTGTGTGTGCAGTAGGTGTGTTGACCAGGCATGTGTAGGTGTGTGTTCAGACCAGGTGTGTAGGTGTGTGTTCAGACCAGGTGTGTGTTCAGATCAGGTATGTATAGGTGTGTGTTGACCAGGTATGTGTAGGTGTGTGAGTAGGCCGAGGGTAAGATACCTGCCGTGTTAGTGTGACAGTGTAAGATGAGACTTGAGTGTTCTGACCTCGTTTGACCCGCCCTAGAATCTCAGACACACTCACCTTAAATTTCCCTCCTAAATGTTGATGTGATAAGGCTCTACCTGGCTTGCTTAATCTAATCTAACCTAACCTAACCTAACCTAACCTAACCTAACCTAACCTAACCTAACCTAATCTAATCTAACCTGACATTAGGACACAAAATCATATACTGAAACATTCCCACACCACAACTCTCCTGTAGTAGAGGTTATGTAAACGCGTCTAACTGTGGGACCATTTAACATATGACACAAAAATTATCATTATAATGGCGTCGAAACTGCAGTGAGACTTTACCTTGATTATACGTATTCTCACACCTCCCTCTCACCCCACACCCTCACCTCTCACCCCTCCCCCCCCCCCCCCCCCCCCCCCATTAAGGGACAAAATGTAAGACACGGTCGAAATTTTTTATAAAGACATGAGGCCACATTAGCGCCCCCGTAAAGTTAATATCACCGGGACTAACAGGAGAACACGGCAATCTGTGTACTGAAAAAGTTATCCTTACTGCAGGAATAAAGGCTGGCGAACGTACGTCTGGCGTAGGATCCATATATATGTATTATTATTATTATTATTATTATTATTATTATTATTATTATTATTATTATTATTATTATTATTATTATTGTTGTTGTTGTTGTTGTTGTTGTTGTTGTTATTTTTTTGGAGTGGGACTTACGCTGTGTGTGTGTGTGTGTGTGTGTGTGTGTGTGTGTGTGTGTGTGTGTGTGTGTGTGTGTGTGTGTGTGCGTGCGTGTGTCCCCACCTCCCCGGGTCTCAGGAGGTCTCAGCTGTCAGACACTTTTAAGACAGTGACCACAGGGGACCAGCTGGTGGGGGAGATGGTCCTAACCTAACCTAACCTTGGATGAAATTAGGAACACACTATATTAAATTAGATTGGGTTAGGTCAGAGTTAGATTAATTTTAGGTGAAGTTAGTGTTAAATTAAGTTAGATAAGGATTATATTTAGTTAGGATAGTGTTATACTAGATTAGGTTGCTATTAGTGTTAGATTAGGTCGGATTAGTTTGAATTAGATTATCATTACATTAAATTAGATTAGTTAAAAATCAGGTTAGTTTATTATACAACCACAATTTATATATTTAATCTACATATATGTGTGTTGTGGGTTTTATTTTTCTACCATGGTATATCTAGTACAACGAAAGACAAACCTGTAAATAAAATCCCGTTCTCCGGAAACCAAAATCCCGGGACACGAATTTCATGGACGGGAATCGAATCTAGATACCTCGTCTGCTGAGTCACCCTACACCCTGGAATGTGATGGAAGTTTAGGGTAAAAAAAGAAGAAATTACCATCTTAAATTGAGCAGCGTTGGCAGGATGGAGGGAGGGAGTTGGGGGAGGGAAGGGAAGGAAGGGAGGGAGGAAACAGGATGTAGGGTGAAGGATGGTTGGGTGGATGGGGAGGGAAGGAGGCGGTGGGGGAGGTAGGGGAAGGGTGAAGGATGGTAGGATGGATGGAAAGGGAGGGGGGTAAGAGGTAAGGGGAATGGTAGGATAGATGGCTGGGGGGGGGGAGGAAAGGAGGAGGTAGGGGGAGAGGGTATGATATTCCTGCGAGGATGATGATAAGATGTCTCAACCAATCACAATTGAGTATGGGTGTGATGGCATTATTCTTGACCAATCACAATTGGGTATGAGTGTGATGGTACTCGTTTCGACCAATCACAGCAGTTCATGGTTAGTATCGTATTCAAGGGGTCGTCATCATACTCAAGGGGTTAAGTCATCATACTCAGGAGTTATCCAAAATAATAGGGGATAATGCTCATAATGTAACCTGAAAAATAGACGAGTTATAATGATATTAAACAACCACAACACAACATGGAAATAAAGGAGATATAATAGTAAATAGTAACCACAACACAACCCGGAATAAGGATAGCTGAACACCACAACACAACCTGGAAATAAAGGAGATATAATAGCAAATAATAACCACAACGCAACCCGGAATAAGGATAGCTGAACACCACAACACAACCTGGAAATAAAAAAAGTTATAATAGTAGCTAATAACCACAACATAACCCGGCATAATGGTAACTAATAACCACAACATAACCTGGAAATTGGATAAAGTTAACTTTGTACCTCGGGGAAAGTTTCGTCAATTTCCGTCTGGGATAACGATAACCTTTTACCTCTCTCTCTCTCTCTCTCTCTCTCTCTCTCTCTCTCTCCTCTCTCTCTCTCTCTCTCTCTCTCTCTCTCTCTCTCTCCACACATTAATATCAACCAAGTCTCGATAGATTAATAACTAAAATCAACAGTTTTAATTAAATAAACTAAAACTAAAAAATTAAATCCGTGTGATCTAATTCCTCCAAATTTTAGAAAATAAATTAAACTACGAACCCTCCCCCTCCCCTCCCCTTCCCCTCCCCCCCGAGGTCAACAGCTAATTTCATTGTTCTCCCTCGACGGCTTGAGCGAACGGCAGACAATGAGGGAGTGGTCCTCTTTCCTGGGAGGTTAACCAGAGGCCGAGGAAATGTGTCAGAGGTCGCGAGAATTGAGTAGACGTCGTGGGAATTAATCAGAGGTCGTGGGAATGTGGTTAGAGGTCGTGGAAATTGAGTAGAGGTCGTGGGAATGTGGTGGAGGTCGTG